CACTGTGTTTTTTATGCGTTGTACTGTGGTACTGATAGGAAGTGACTTTGCAGAGACTTATTCTGACAACATGGCTCCCACCATTGCTATAAGTGCCAGGGTACATTGCCCCAAATACCACTTGCAAGGACTCAAAGTGAGCTCTTGAATCTTTTGTGCCCCTGAGTTGACGAGAACCCAGAGCAAGATTACTGGATACTTTTGCCATAAACAACCTCTCTTTTTGTTAAGAAGAGCCATTCTTGTGCCACAGACCAACTGTTGAACTCCCTCATCAATCTTATGATTAGGAGAACACTCTTAATGTAGGAGCTATTCTCATATGCCAGGCATATGTTTCCAACAGGCAACATCTCTTTCCTATGTGAAAGAGACTACATAATTTTCCTAATTGCCGTAAGAAGGCAACTTTCTTCCTTCCCCGAAGTCTGTGAAAGATTCTTCTTGTCCATTCCTTTTTATAGCTCCTATGTCCCCCTTTCAAATAAGAGAATTATGCTGACATAATCACCTTGTGTCTAGTTACTTAATATCAAGCAGACAATTGCTAAAGCAATTGTATCAGCAATAAGATTTTAATTATTCCTTGGTAGCTGTGCATTCTGGCCCTAGTAAACCAAGACAGCTGTAGCCATTTTCATGCTGTCCTTATCTTTGATGGCAGTTAAAATGTGTTTATGCACCCTTGACTCTAAGCAAATATTTTGTTGGGTTTTGGCTCCTTTTTATCCTGTAAATTTGATCCTGACAGTTTTACATCAGTGGCATACCAACAAGAAATTTGTCCAATGACATCCATGCAGTCTGTTGGCAGAAAGTCTTCGTGGATATAAACAAAGAAGGAATCACTGAAAATACCTAACAGCTGTCCTGTAATCTTGGGTATCCTTTCCATGTAATTGGAAAACTGTTGTTTTCTCTTCTTTTATGCTGCATTCAAAAATAATACTGACAATAAATACCAAGAAAAAAGGGAACCAAAACCATGTTCGGAAACAGCGCAGCACAAAGGTAAAAATAGGAACACAAACTATTTTTCCGTTCTGTGACACAAGTTGAGGCCATGAAGATTTTTGGCAGGCAAGCTGATGCAAGAGTGGCTGTAATCTTACAGTTTTGTGCCTAAATCCACTTTCCAGGTAATTGGTGCGCAGTCTTTGTGGGTGTGCCTGTCAGGATGTTAGAGCAGGCATGCTGACCCATCCATCAGCTCTGCTGATTCAGGCTCCCCTTCTGTGCAGTGCAGAGGATTTCCTCCAGCTGTGCCTGGGGCTGTGTTTGCTGGGTAGTTTTAAGGCATATGTGAAACCCTTCTCAAACAGTGACATGTACCCTACAGCCCGGCAGAAAATCCAGTGACTCATACTCAGAGATACCAAAAAACTCAGCATTTTGCATTCCAGAAGCTAAAACGAAACTATTGCATAACTGCTGGAACAATGTTACTAATCACCCACTTCTGCAGTTCATAAAAGTATCCTGGCTTTTTCGAGCTGGAAAATATGAAGACCAGTCTGGATGATCAGGATATTAGATTCAGCTTTACAGTAATTCTAAATAGTCTAAATATTTTAAGATATTTGAAACTGCTTGGTTATAACACAAGGCAGTATCCATACTCAGCCATTAAAATTATCTGTTGATGGTTTGACTGGGTTTGCAGATGTAAGCACTGGGCCTTTTTTGTATTTGAAACATTCCTTAACAATACACCTGATACCAGGTTTCCTGAATCCTGCATCCATGGTTGGTGCGTTGTTAGCAAGAACCAAGGTTGTCCATACTACCCTGAGAAAGCTGATTTGAAGAGGATGTTAAGAAACCCATACCCTCTCTGTAACAAGTGTGCATTTGATTTTGGTTTTCTAAACCACAGCCTGATTACTTACTAATTCTAGTTTTGATCTGCAGTGGAGGGATGAGATGGCCACATTAAATGAATGGAAAACCAATTATTATTAAGAAACGATTATATTTAGGGAATGTCATAGTTCTGTTTGCCTTTATCTTATCTAGGACACCAAGCAAGCCAGGAAAAAAAAAATGCATATATATTTTCCTTCTTGATTTTAAGACATCCAGAAATAATTTTTATAATGAGAGGAACACTTTAAAGAACATAAATTTCAGTTTTACAAAGACCGTGCAGTGGATTTCACTCTGTTACAAAGTAACAACAGTGATATATTTCATTTTCAGAACAAGTGCTTTTTTCCCTCCTATTCTCTTCGTAGTTACTAAACAACATCTTTCCTTCAGCAAATAAATTAATAGCTGAAGATCTGCTGCTGTGTCTGTAGAAACTTGCTTGAGTAGAAGCAAAGTTTGGCTTATATTTTTGGAGCCTATTTTAGTCATATGTGAGGAGGACATTTAATTTTAACCTTATCTCTATAAAAAAGGAAGTAAATTATGAGAGTTGGAAAAAAGAAAAAAAGGATGTTTCAAAAATTTAACCCAATATTTTTTGTTCAATTCTGAGTGAGAAAAATACCAGGATTTACCTATTGTTGGATTTTCTCTCCAGTTTCCTTGTCACCAGATTATGTGGGAACACGTTATTATGCGGAAAACTTCTGGACTGGCTCTGCTATTTGGTGGTTTGGCAGTTGGTTGTTATAGGCATCATCCAAGGCAATAATTACTCACTGCTTCTAAAATAGGACTCAGATAATTAGTGAGAATTTAAAGTGTTGGATATTTATCTGTCTACAATACTGTGCATATTCTGTACTTAATTTTAAAAGACTACAGAAAATAACAATTAGTGGAACTCTGGTGTGCTAGAAACCCTTTTGCAGGACAGGGCCACTTTTTGCATTACAGCAAGGCTGTACAGTGTGCTATGAAAACATATTTTCTCAAAGTAAGAATTAAAAGAAATTTATGCTTTTAAGTGTAAGCTTGTGCAAGGAAAAAAAGGGAGTTATTTCTTAGAATGAATGAAATACTAGCAGAAGTAGCTTTTGAACTCAAATTAAACATGGACAGTATTTTAAGAATCTTTACATTGTCATTAGAAATCAGAGATCCACACTAGCTTAACTTAGACTTTAACATATATATGAGAAAAAAGCAGAGATTGTGTGAAGCCATCTGCAGATGAAGGTAAGGTTTAGATGCTAAAAATAGGAAATGATGCACTTAAAAAATCCAAGATAAATGAAAGAAAGAACAAATCTTGAGTACATAGAAAGAAAGCGCCTTTGTTAGCTTAGATGAAATAACAAAGTTAATAATTCTTATAATGTGTTATGCCTGTATTCATAAATGAAAAAATGCAAGTAAATAAGCCATTAATTCTTGTTGCACTGCTGAAGTTGCCTAATTGTGGGTGTGATAGAAGCATGTGCATCCTCAGCCTTCTCAACAGCTAGCAAAAAACAGTGGTACTTCTGCTCTCACTGACACTTTGGCTGTGCAGAAAACTTTCTAAAAGCAGTAACACGATAGGTAACCAGCTGTGAGAGGAAACTTCCAATGCACCCAACTCAGTTACAAATATTGAGGTGTTTGAACAGAGTTTTTGTACCACATTAGATGCTCAAGATTAAAACGCAGCAATAAAAACACTAACTTGGACATGATCTCATCACAGATGCAGCCATGTGTTTTAGGTGTTTCCATTTGAAGGCTTTTAAGATTTGCTTCTGTACATGCCTGGAAATGTCCTACGCTGTGACTAAGCCTGAACTGATACAGCAGGTAATTGTCCCTCTGGCCCACGACATTCAAGCTATTAGGGTTCATCAGAAATTTCCTGTGGCTGCAAGGCAAGTATCACCAAAGACTCCCCTTTCTTTTTAAGTCATCTCTGAAGGTTGAGCCTGGTGCCACAGTCTCCCATTTATTCAACTTTTCCAGAAATTATCTTGTCCCAGTAATTTTCTCAAGAAGGCAGCTCAGCACCACAAAGCCCACTCACTCATTCTCCCCACAGTGGAACAGGGAAGACAATCTAAAGGGTAAAAGTGATGAAACTCGTGGGTTGAGATGAAGACAGTTCAGTAGGTAAAGCAAAAGCTATTCTCACACAAGCTCTCTCACAAGCAAAGCAGAACAAGGAATTAATTTGCTACTTCCCATCAGCAGGGAAATGTTTAGCCACTGCCATGAAACAGGACTCCATTACACAGAACAGTTACTTGGGAAGGCAAACACAATAACTCCAAATACCCTCCCTTATTCTTTCTTTCCCACAA